GGAAAAGAGGTCGGCCTTCTTGCTGTAGGGCTTCCGTCGCCAGATCTCCGGCGCAACGTAGTACGGTGTGCCGCAGAACGTCTTGCCGACGTCGCCCGAGACCGTGGCGGAATACATCTTGCCGAAGCCAAAGTCCCCGAGCTTCACAAGCCCATTACTGCAAAGAAGGATATTGGCCGTCTTGATGTCACGATGAATCATGTGTCTCGAGTGCACGTGATGAAGCGCAAGGAGGACTTGAATGAAGAGAAGGCCTGCCTCGTGCTCACGAAATGCTCGGGACGCCTTGGCACGGCTCTTGATTTCCTGGCGGAGGTCCCCAGCATTCGCGTAGTCAAGCACAAGAGCTATCATTAAGAGATTCTCCCCATCTAGAGGGTCCTTCTTGGCAAAGTCCTCGTGGCACTTCAGGATGGAAAAGAAGTCGCAGTTCAGCAGACAGTGCACCTCCGCCTGCGCGCGGCCGGTAAAATTAACTCTGTCCGCCTCCTTCCGCCTCATTCCTGCCGGCGTTGGTCGAACTTATGGGGTTGCATCCGGGGGCGTGAAGTGGCGGCAGTGCGCTTGGCTGAATGCGAACGGTACGGGGTACTGAACGTGTTCCACGTTGCAGTAGAAATACAGTCAGCAGTCACGTTTGTTTCCCACCGCGCCCTTCCGGGTGCAGCGTGCGACATCATTTTTCAGTAGTGAGCGTGTGAGGCTGCATGCATTTTCCTGGCTCTCACGTCAGTACATCATTTGTCCCACTGGCGGTGGCCTCGTCTAGCCCAAACGTTTCCACCAATGCTCCAGGGGGGCCACAAACTGTTTGGCTGTGGAGAGAAGCAAGCGGACACGCCACTCTTACGTCGCGGTTTTCTCAGGCGAAGTAAAAACAAAAACAAAATAGCAAAATAAAGGAGAAATTAAAAGGATGAAGCGGAAGGAAACGCCACGCCAAAGGGGGAAGAAGCCACGGTACATGTTCTGTTTGTGAAAAAAAAATAGTAATAATATTTTCTGCCTGTGGTTGCGTCGTTGCCTCATTTCTGCCCCACTGATGAAACGGGGAACACAACAACACACGCACGGCAGCAGTAGAAATTACTCGTGGCGAGTATCTTGCGCCCCTGCGTATGAAGACGGCATTGGTGGAGTTACTGACGTGCACATGGACGCTTCACTCAACCGTCTTCTCCGTTACAAACACGCATCCTCAGGCATGACGAGAAAGGTGGGGAAAACGCAAACACGCCAGCACACGAACCAAAAAGGGAAAATAAAGCGAAACAAAGAAGAAGTTTTTTTGGGCGGGAATTGAAAATAAGGTGAAAAACAGAAAACACGTAAGGAAACAACTACAGCAAAGAAGCAAAAAAAAACAGAGGGTGAAAAGAGACGTATGAGAGTTTATAATCATGCCCCATTTCCTTTACACCTGAAAACAATAACAGATAGCAGACACATATAATATGCATATGAAATGATGTAAAATAATAATGCAGCTGGTCCGTGAGGCTCGAAAGAAACTCGTTTCGTTTTTTTTGTGTGATTGGGAAGGGGGCGGGGGGGGGGGGGGTTGCTTTCTATCTTGCAGTTCATTTCCAAATGACTCTGCTCTCGATGCTATTTAGCTTCACATGGGTGGGGAAAAAAAACACACACGCACGCAAACGTAAACAAGTAAAATGGGTTGCACTGTTCCTTCGCGAACCGCGATGCCTGGACGCGACTCCAAGCACTGCCACAGCAAAGGAACAAGATCATTAAAATTATGACATTAGACTCCTATTCGGGGGGAAATACAGGGGGAGGTGTGGTGTCGTCACCAGGTGGAAGATGAATTTGCGTGTCCTTCCCCAGATTAGACTCAACGCCACTTCTGCAGCGTTGTGGCACAGTATCCGCAGCAAAGACCGATAGTGCCCGCGGGCTTTCAAAGCAGCTGGTGGAATCAATGTGCTGGAACAAGGTCGAGTCACCCACTGGGGAAAACGCCTCCTCAGCCATGTGTTGGTAGTGAATGGAGGCAAGGCAAAAGGATATCCACTGCTGACGCTCTTCCTCGCACGCGGCTTGAAACCATATCTTTTTCCCTGTCTTGGTAAGCAATGCAAATACATACTTTGCCTCGTCCATGGCGTAGCCCTCAGTAACCACGAAGCAGTCAATAAAGAAACTCATACACTTAGAAAGTTTTTCGGGTGAACCCTTTCTTAAGAACAAAACCAGTTCAATAGCTCTCGGATGCGCTAATTTTTGTGTCTCCTCGTTAACATCTGGAAGCATTGCCCACTGCAGGCACAAATAGCGCAATTTCCAGCTTCCAGAGCTTTCTTTGTGAAGGACACCTTCAAGAAGCACCCGCGAATCTGCTGTTACCGGGCCATTCACATCAGATAACTCAGGTTTGAGTCGGCTTGCTCCATCCGACAGAGCTACCGCCTGATTGAGAAGTTGCCTGTATACACAGCTCAAATCAAGCAACACTTTCTTTCGTTCAGAGAATGAGAGACAACAGTCTAAACTAGGCCTTCCTTTCATCTGCGGAAATTTGTCAGTGGAAGTTTCAGCGTAAGTGCTATTCACTCTTTCTCGCCCATGTCGAAAACTGTATTCCATACCATTACTAACAACAGACTCCAGCAGCGTCGCCAAGGTGAGTCGCATTAGCGGCATCAACAGGAGGTCCAAGGCGGAAGGACGCAAATCAGGGTTTTTCTCTAACAGGGCACGCACGATAGTCGCAACTTCAGAGGGGAAGTGCGGCGGTATTTCAGGCGTTTCTTCTAATATGCGTTGCCTGATTTCACCAGGAGCCTCCCCCTCAAATGGTCGCTTTAGCGAGAAAATTTCATACAAGAGGACCCCAAGGGAAAAGATGTCCGCCTTCGTCCCATACGGCTTACGTTGCCATATTTCAGGTGCGAGGTATTGCGGCGTCCCCACAACTGAACCAATAACTTTCACATTTTCGCCGGCGGGAATAAATTTGCTAAGCCCAAAGTCACCTAATTTCACCAACCCGTTGCTAAATAGGAGTACGTTTCCTGCCTTAACGTCACGATGCACAATCCCTTGGTTGTGCAGGTAGTAAACTGCCAGGACAACCTGCACAAAAATAAGCAGGGCGTTACGCACGGAGAAGAACTTGTTTCCCTTCTTTACACGTGACCGAATTTCCTGGCGGAGGTCACCGTTGTTGGCGTACTCCATCTCCAACACCTGCGCAATGATGGGGTTACTTACCGGGTCGGGTGGATCCCCCGGGTGTCTCCGTCGTGTGAAACCTCCATAGAGGCGCAAAATAGAAAAAAAATCACACGATTGATGGCATTCGATTTCCCTGCGAAGCGACCTTTGGGTTGCCTCACCGTCGCGTTCACACTCAACAAACTTTACAGCGAAAAGCTGCTGTTGTTGAGAGGGCGGAAATTGAAATCCGTTCAAGGATAGCTGTTGCGAAGAAAGCAGTGCAGAAGGGGCATCAGACTCACCGGTCGTACTTGCGTTTCGCCGCATTGACCCCTTGGAGGCCAAAAAAAGTGTGCCGTAGGCGCCCACATTAATTGGACGAATAAGTTTAAGTTCTGCGGCCGAGCCTTCCTCTAGGCTGGGTGGCAGCTTCGCGTCGTTCAGCGTTTCAGCAAGTTGATCCGAACGTCTTCGCTCTCGAGCTTTAGCTTCCTCCACTTTCAAAGGTGACTCGTCGGGGCTGCTGTGGGCGTCGGGCAAGGTGTAGAAGGGGAACAGCGAGGCACACCGCTCCAACAGCTGCTGGTTGGTGATGCGATGTGCGTTTTTGTCGTTCTGCACCACGTGCGCCCGTAACGGCGCCGGGTTAACGCAGTGGTCCTCTGCATTCTCCTGCGAGCCCATTGGCTATAGCCGTTCCCCAAAGCGTCTAACTTTCCCCCTCCCCCTTTGTGTGCTTCGGTGTACCTATCTCGCTCTCTTTCTTCGTGTCTCCTCCGTTTCGTCTAGTCTAACTTGCGCCGTCGTTTCTTATTGGGTGTGCGTTCCCCTTAGACGAGGGTTGCTACGCCAGACTACGGCCCAACACCTTTCACACACCGAGTGGCTCCAGAGATGGTGAGGGGGGAAAAGGAAAAGGAGTCCAAAGGAAAAAAAAAAAACAGTTGAAGGAATCAAATGCATTAAGCACGGAGTGCACCCCACATTTATTTGCTGCCCTTCTCTAACTACCGACACTTGCCCTTCGCTTCCCCCATCCCCCACCCTTCGGGTGGGTGGCAAGGATGCAGAAAAGCAAAAAAAATAAATACACATGTTGGTCTTCTGCAATCCAGTCTTTTCAGTCATCGCTGTGTCGCCAATTTAAAAGTCCTCATCGGCGGAATTTCTGGCCTTTGTGGCGGCGTCAAAGACATACTGGGGACCATTTTTTTTAGCTTCGCACATAGTTTTGCTTTCACAACTCCAAAATCTCCAATGGTGGGCTGTTTCCCGTCGCGTTGTACCTTTAGATCTTGCCAGCACTCCCAGAAAAGAAACAGACACCCAATATAGTACTCACAGCAGATGAAAAGAAGTGGAAATTCACGTCTCAGTGTTTCCTCGTCACTGCGTCCCATCGAGAGACGGCCTGGCTTTGTCGCGGAGTGCGACAGAGCCCGTGCGCGACGTACAGTGTCAGCATAAAACCCGCTATCCTTCAACATATCAAGCAGCACGCCTGAAAAATTGGACCCGACCAGTACAAATGGGAGCTCCTCATATACACTCGCACCGCCGCCACCATTTGTGCAGGTGTCCCAAAGATTCATCGCGAAATCGCTATAATATTCAAGAAGGTATATCAGCTGCAATAGACAAAATATGCCGGTGGAGCGAAGATCCGTGGCGGGATCACCGCCTTGAAACCCCAGCGTTTCCCAGTCTATCGCCCCAGTACGACTGCCACCATTGCCGACCCCATTCCTCCGGCGAAAAGAATTATTTTGAATAGTTACAAGTAACCTTTGGTGAATGGGATGACTCTGGTCCAACGGCACAGAGGGCAAGGTTAAGGTGAACTCAGTGTCGTACTGCAACACTGACTTTGGATCGGAAGCAACGCCAGCGTCCCTCGAAGAGACGGAGCTACCACTACAAAATAGGTCTCTACATCCTTCAATGAAGGACCTTAAGCAAGTACTCTTCTTGTTTTCACCAAATCTATGCGGTGCAACGTACGGCTCCCACGTAAATGTGTCGCCCTTCAGGCATCGAACCGCATCTAAAAACCCGATACTTCCCTGCTCCTCAGTGCTCTGAGACGGACGAGGCGCCTGTTTGTTAACCAATTTCTGCTCTGCTTCATAGTTAACTTGGTCCCAATCCACTGCAATAAACCGCTGGAAGTTGCTGTCTTCCATCACGTCTCTCCTTCGTGCCCCCATGATGCGAGAATCTTCAGAAGGCGTTATGATGGATGACGCCGCCGCCTCCCGCGGGGAGAAGGCGTCCGAGTGAAGTGCCTCATTTTCTATTGAAGCCGAGGCGTCGTCAGGAGCGCGTCGTGAGTTGCCTGGCAGAAATGGCGGCTTGTCGCCGCCCAAACTAGGGGAGCCGCTGTGCTGGCGGTACTTGAGCAGTACGGCGTTCGTGGAAAGGGTCGACATGGACTACGGCTAGGCACACATAGAAGGCCGTGGGCGACAGTTGGAGCCTCCGGCGCAGCGCCGCTCAAGCTTGGGCCGATGGAGCAAGTCAAAGGGGGTGAGATAAACCCAAACCCACACGTACAAAGAGGCGGAAGCAAAAGAACGATATGGCAGACAATGGAGGGTTTGAATGAAGTTGCGGTGCACGCGTGGTGCGTGGAGGGAGCCAACAAAATGTTTGCTTCACGCTCCCACCGCCCAACGTCAGCTAGGAAGAAGCAGCAGCCAAGGGTTAGGGCGGTGGGTGGGAGAAAACATAACCGCAAGAACATATATATATATATATATAGAAAAAATAAAGGAGCAGTGGTGTACGCTCTACGCCACTGTGCAAAGAAGGAGAACTTCCCCAAAGGCGAGGCGGCAGACGCAATGGTGGTATAGGCTCTCGAGTGTCGCCTAAGAAAAAAATAAAAATACTCCCCCTCTTTTCATCATCCCTTGTAGTTTCTGAGGAAGAGACGCCTCCGTTCGTTGCGCCCTCCCACCTCGTGAGGTCACAGTCGTACTGCCTTGCAGCATTAATTTTGTGTCACCGCACTCGCGCGCCCGCCCACCCACCCAATCCTATCGGCTCCTGTCATACGCCAGCAGTCAGGCAGCCCCCGCGAAGCCGCAACTCGCGGAGCAAAAATGGTCGCAGCGGCTGAGGCGATGCGAACCCTGCGGATTGCCCACTAGAAAAACTTGGAAACTCTTGAGCGCCTCTGAACGGTTAAAAGGCGGTAATAACAAACAAAAAAAAAGGTAAAATAATAACACATACACACGCACACAGATGCATAAATGCACGTGAAAAGTGGAGAAAAGTTCACTCTAAATCACAATATTGTATACAAGCGCGTGGGCAAGGTCAATGCAGCATAAATGGAAAACACCAAGGCCTGGAACACTAAAATACATATGAAAAAACGTTGTTTTCTCCACCCACACAATCACCTCTCCCTCCCTCCCTATTGCACCGATGCATTTTCATTGCCCTCGCTAGACATGAATGGGACCCAAACTGCGGCAACGTGAATGGCTTCCTCACATCCGCGTTCATGCATACATGCGCAGCAGTCACTTTCCTCACAGTGAGGCACTGCCTCTTTTTGCGCGCTGAGCTTCGGCTGCCCGCGCGGCAGATCCCACCGGAAAAATATTGCCCCCCACAGGGCACCTCTTCCCGCACTTTTTCTTGAATAGACGCAGCGCCCGCGGGATCTCATTGGGAGATACAGGAATGGCATCAATCGTGGTCAATTGCTGCAAAATACTAATTACGCGGAATCGATGCTGTTCAGAGAGCGGAAGCTTGGACAACTCGCGATGCGCATCACCGTCCCACTCCTCTAGTCTTCGAGGCGTCACGGTTGTGTCCCTCACAAGACTCCTGGCACAGGGCATGACCATGGAAGAGAGTAGTGTGTTGCTGACATCCGCACCCTCCAATGAGGGAAAGTTGTCAGAAAGTCTACGTGCAGAAAAGTCTACATCTTGCGCCACCTTCGATTCCGCGTACCCTGGTAGTGGTTTATTGATGGTGGCCTCATCCGATTTCTTTAGAAGCGGATTCCCTTGTATCGCTAGGTGTCTAAGGTTAATAAGCCCTGACAGCGTCTCCAGCTCCGTCCATGACTCAATTCCATTATTCACCAATTGAAGATCAACGAGTTCTCGCAACACATCGAAACCGTCAAGCTTTTTTATCTTGTTATTTCCCAGATCCAAGGTCTCCAGACTGTTCGACAGGTAGACCACAAACTGGGCCTTTTCCACCTCATTATGGGAAAGGTTGAGGCTGCGCACAGTACCGCAGGTAGCAAAGGTATTCAGCTGGATATGCCGAACTTTGTTGGACCTCAAATCAAGCCGTGTAAGGCTGTGAAGCGAGCAAAAGTCTCCGTTCACCAACTCCTCCACCTGATTTTCCCCTGCACGAAAGTCCATGAGAAACGGCAGCTGGTGAAGACCTCGAAGGCTCGTTAGGCGGTTTCTGTCGAGGTTAAGTTTCTCCAAGGTGTTGCCAGATGGGGCGAGGTCGTCAAAGACCTCATTGGTCAATTTATTATTTGCCGCCGAGAGATGCACGAGGCAACAAATCCCTCGCAAGGGTTTCAGTGAGTCAAGCATGTTATCATTGAGGGAGATGCGTTGCAGGTACTTGTAAGTCCCCAGCATCTCAATGGAGGTGAGGCGGTGCGAGGAGAGGTTGGACCTGGCGTAGACAAGGTAGCCCATGGCATTGTGGGTGAGGGAATCCAACGACGCCACAAGGACGTCGGTCGTCAGCGGATTCTCCTCTACCTCCGCTGGGGGCGCCGTCTCCAATGAGCATCGTGCAGTCATCGGCCAAAGAGACTCTGTCCGGCCCGTGCCTCTGAAGCGAGACAAATCCCCTCCCGCTCCTCTTGCAGGGAGCCGCCCAAGAGGCACGCGCTAGGCTGCAAGCAAAGACAATGCGAGGAGGAGCACAGGGACGCGTGTGGAAGGCAATGAAAAGGGGCGTTATCAGCGACCGGTGGGACGCCACGGCCAAACCGAGCAACGCAAACACCAAAGAAGGATAACGAGAAAATGACAAAGAAAAAAAAGGCCCGCTGCAGCAACGACGCTCCCTTGTCGAGGAAACAAAAAAAAGAAGACATGGAAGAAAGAAAGAGAAGAAAGACGAGGGAAAATCAAAAGGGATTAGTGTGAGTGTGCGTGTTTTTTTTGTTTCCAAACCGCAACCACACACCTCACCGGGGTGTGTGTGAGGGAGACAGTGTAAATAGAAGAGTGTCTGCCAGCCAGGCGTCCCCACCGCGACAAACAAACAAACAAAAAACCACAGCGGGGTGGCAGCTTCAGGCAACGACCGTCTTCCCCACCCCTCACCACCTCCCTTCTCTCCCTCTTACTTCTCTTACATTCTACTAGTACAGTATAATGATCTAAAAAATACAAGCCCTCACTACTGCAATCCTACCTCCGTGGGATCCGGTCAAGGGTGGAACGAGACACACATAAACACACCTCTGTCAGAAAAACGTGAAGGTGAGCAAGAAGAAAACCACATGGAGGGCCGCTGCTCATCAGCCCTCATCTCTCTCTCTCTCACACACACATACGCACACACACACACGCGTTGACGCCCACTTTCTCCTACAGCCCACACTTTCATCGTCGATGATACCTCCCATCCCCACCACGCTTTCTAGTTCCGCCCCAGAAGATCTTTCCAATCTTGTGCATGTGTGTATATGTGAGTGTGTACATTTTTTCCCTCCTTTATTTTCTTCTTTCTATTGGGCGCGGCCTTTTTGCCCTGACTTTGCCTGTTCCTTTTAAAAAGTTATTTCCTCTGATTTGTGCGCATTCCCTGTCGTTATCCCAACCTCTTTTCCTAAGAGCGCTGCTGTGATAACAGAGAGCGAAGCTCGTTGACAATGAGATTGCGCTGCGTGGCTTTGTCTGCCCCCACTGGTGGCGGCCGCCGCCGCGACGAACTAACTGGGCGCGACGTGGGCACCTCCACCGCTACTCCCGCCGCCGCTATGTCCCGCTGAGCTTCCTTGATGAGTCGCACCTGCTCCGTCTTGCGATCCATGAGTCGTGCAATGCGATTCAGTGCCGCCGTAAGCACCTCGGCGGAGATCTCTTCCACCGCCGCCCGCTCCACCGTTTCCTTGTACTGTTGATGAAGACCCTTCAGCTCCTTCTCCAACTCCTCACAGACTTCCGCCATGGCATCATTCCTCCTCCCTTCCAACAAAACTGCCGGCTGTGTCCGCGACGCTGATGCCGTCGCATAAGAAGCGGGCCGTGTAAACTCACCAACGAAGCTGCTATCGGCTACATAAATTCCGTTCTCCTTCCGAACATCACGCTGGTTGGAGGAATACGTCGGGTCGCGGTACGTGTGCCGAGCGCTGCTGGAACGCACGGCAGACGTAGGACGACTGCCTCTCTGCCGAGGATCAGCAGTTCGGCGAGAGTTATTGGTTCTGTTAAGCGGGTCTACTCCGGCGCCGCTGGGTGCTCTACCACGATGATTACGACGTTTTTGTCCTTCCACAGTTAACCGACTGGTATCACCGTTGCGTAAAAGCGTCCGGTTCGCTCCGCTCCCTGGTTGCACTCGTATAAGCTCCTGTATTGCTTGCTCTAAATGACGGTTGGTGTCGAGCGCCGCCTCCTTCTCGGACTGGAGCTCTTCAATGGATGTAAGAAGTGCACGGTGTCTTCTGTGCTGCTCCTCTAACTCTTGTCGCAATTTATCCAACTCGCTGGCCATGGCATTTTCACGTTTTTTGGCAGCATCACACTCCTTAAGAAGCATCTCCTCTAGTTCTGTCCGAAATGTTCCCAAGTCTTTTCTACTTTCTTCCAAAGTGCTTTGTAGCTTGGCCTTCTCCGCGGTAGCCCGCTGCACCATTTCCTGCAGCTCCTTTTCGCGTTGCCGATGATGCGTACGTTCCTGCTCCAGCTGGTGCTCCATGTCCTGCTTGTAGGCCTCGTGTGCTTGCAGGGCTCGCTCGTACTGATCCAGGTGATGATTGCGGTCCTGCTCCAGACGGCGTATTTTGTCTTGCAGGGCCTGGAGCGCAAGAACAATAGACTTTGTGTCTCCCACGCTCATGCTGAGACCAGAGCGCTGCAGGCTGCTCGTGTTGCTCTCGATCGAGTTGTTCACCGAGGCCATGTGGAGGGGTGGCACTCCGCCGCTTGTGTTCTACTGGTCCTTGCCGTGGACAGTGTGAGAACGAGTGAGGCGTGGAAGTGGGGCAAAGACCAAGAACAACATCAACAAAAACAAAAGAACGACGAAGGGGGTCAGGAAAAAAAAAACAATAAATAAATAAATAATAATCAAAAAACAAAGCGGAGCGGATGCGAGCCACGCAATGGAGAAATTATGGGAACAGAAAAAAGTAGAAGCCAGCAAGAAGGAAATCACTCACTCAGAGGCATACACGCATGCTGTGGAGCAGATTGAGCATAGAGGCAATGTGAAACGATGTTTCGCGAAACATGTTCTCTGCATTTAACTTGCATGGTGCAAGTTCACCCCTCTTCCTTTCCTTACTAGACGTCCATGTCTTTCGTCCATCAATGATACTCCGCACGAAAGACACGTATGAAGCAAGTAGAAGAAAAAAAACGCAACATAAAAATTCGAGGCAGAAGAAGATATGTGCTGTGTTCCTTGCTATCCTGCGTCCTTCCACAGAGACAGAGTAATAACAATAAACGAACACTCAAACATATATATTGATTGCTGTTGCTGTCGATGTTTCCTGTAGTGTTTATGTTTGTGTGTGTGTGTGTGTGTGTGCGTGTGGTGTGCGTGACCTGACGTTACATT